AAAGAAATTAATCTGATTATTAAGATTTGCTTAAATGTTACAAAACAGGTATTGATTATCAATGATATATTAAATACATATTGTAATCGCTATCCAAAGCAGGAGGAAATGGCAATCTGATGCTCTGAATTGTGATCTGCAGTTGGGGAAGAGCTTTGTGCTTTTCCACAGGTGTGATTTCAAAGAACTGCATACTCAAATAAGGACCAAAGCTCAGCATTCCTGTTTTATTTTCTATTTACTAACATAAAAAAAAAATAGTCCCTGTAAAACTGTCTCAGTGAGGCTTTTGGATCTTGAAATTCCAATTTTAGCATCAAGAGTGTTTTGTGTACGCAACACACTTTACCTCTTAGTTTGAAAAATTGACAAAAGAAATTTGACCATTTACATGCCTGTAACAGTCTGCTTGTTTGATGATAACCTGGGGTCAATGATATCAAGTAATAGTCTATAAAGATTCCTTTATATACTTTTCAAATGCTCTTGTGATTGTGAAGGTATTCAAGAAACTTTAAATGCTGAGATTACAAGCCTTACAAGCCTTACTAGCTGAGAAAACCAAGCCTTCACTAGTCACAGTCCTATCAGAAAATGGGCCCTATATTATCTCATGCTATGTAACAAATTACCCCCAAACTTAACTTCTTAAAATGACAAATATTTTTATTATTTCACACAGTTTCTGAGGACTGAGAATCTGGGGGACCCCTAGAGGGTGGTTCTGATTCAACGTCTCTCAAAGGGATACAGTCGAGCTGTTCATCAGGGCTGCGATAGTCTTGACAGCCCAAATGGGGAAGGATCAATTTCCAGGGTTGCTAATGTGGTTGTCTGCAGGCTTCTGATCCTTGCTGGCCATGGGCTGAAGTTTCAGACTTTTTGTCATATGGGTCTTTCCATAGGCTACCTGAGTGCCTGAGTGTCCTCATAACATGACAGCTTCCTTTACCCGAAGTGTGTGATCCAAAGGAATTTCAGAGAAGGTAGCTACAGTAATTTATTATCTATTCTCAGAAGTGACACACCATCACTTCTGCTTTATTCTATTGGTCACCCAGAAAAACCATGATATAATGTTGGGAGGGCACAAAACAAGGTTGTTAATACCAGGAGGTGAGGATCACTGGGGGTCATCTTAGAAGCTGGCTACCACAGGTCCAGAGCAGACTTGCAACTTGGATTCACCTAGAATGTCAGTTAAACTATGCCTCTTCTAAAAGCCATTGTCTATTATTGGGAAGAAATTTCACCTGAGTCTACTAGTGACCATCCAGATAGAACACAAGGGGCAAATAAGAAGTTGTTGATGTTTTTCTTCCAAAGTTACATAACCACCCTATAACCTGAGTCTACTAAATATGCTAAGCAATAACAATTCAACTGTTAGTCACACTTTTGTTGGGGTACCAAGGTCCAAATTTAATTTCAAAAGTATATATGGTCTACAGTATAGCCCCTAGAAGGGTAAAATATACAATGAAATAATATAAAACAGTATGCTATCACAAAAAGTTCATTTTGGAATAAAGTTTTAAAACTTGGGTATGAAAAATATGGAAAACAAGAGACCTTTCCGCTTTCTTTATTTCCCAGATTGAATAGCTGAATTGGATTTTATAATATCAGTAGGAATTAATGACTGCTTTTACATTTTCTATTTTGGGTGAAAGATAAGTCACTTTGAACACTTCCGGTAGTAAATTGCCAGGTAGAGATACAATCATTAAAAATTACTGTATAAAATTCTTGGCTTTTTGTAAAAGAAATTTCAGAGAGTTTTCAATTTAGGAAAATCTTCTAAAGGACTTCATATATATCAGCTGCTTGAAACACACAAACTGTAAGGTAACTGACCCAGGCAAAGCAAAGAGGGCCTAAATAGCTCTACTAAACTTAACAAAAAATAAATAAACAGCCAACTGAAAACCTAATGGGATTTTTAATCATTAAATAACTTAGCCATCTGGTTAGGCCAGGACGTATCTGCAGGCTACAAAGGCTGTTTAAGAGGTAGAGTAGTGGCAATAGATGACTTTTTTTCCTTTTCTAATCCTGCAGATTATCTGTGCTTACATCTATCCTCAGTCCCTAAGATGTTCTAACCTTTAGCGGGTGGGGGGAAATATTGTAGGTCAAGAGATGGTGATTTCTGCCGGAGGAGGAAAGGAGCCTGGGTGGGATTGGGGTGCTGACTTTATGTTAGTAGTGGTTCCCCACCTCGGCAGCATGATAGAATCAGATTCTCTGGGGTGCGACTCAGGTGCCAAACCTTTATTAAGTTCTACAGGTGATTTTAATGTGCAGCAAAGGCTCAGAATCTTTGTTTTGACATCATCTCATTGAAGCACTGATCAGAATCACATGAGCATGTTCAAGTTACAGAAGGCCAGACCTCATCTTCAGAGTTTATGATTCAGTAGGTCGGGGGTGGTACCCAATAATTTTGCATTTTAACAGGTTCCCAGTTGATGCTGATGTTGCTATTCCACACTTTGAGAACCAATCTTAGAAGAGTTTGGCTCTTGTTATATTTTTACTGGAGTTCAGCTGCGAGTGGGGTGGAGGGGTGAGGAGTGAAAATTGGTAGAGGAAGCGAACAGTTATCATTGGTCCCCCTTCTTTCTTGTCCCAACTCCCTTCAAAACTGAAGGTGAACCTGGGTCTATCACTGCATCGCCCCTCACCTATTAGCCTTTATTTCATAGATTGAGAAACTAAAGTTCTTTAGGAGTCATGTGAATAGCCCAATAGACTGGATTTAACCATCCCGTTGTATGTAGCTGACCTCTTTGCTCACGCAGGACGACCTC